AGCTCCTTTGTCAAATATAAGTTGGTTGGAGAAGTGCAGATTGATTTCTGGTGTTTCTATTCTGTTCCATTGGTCTGTCCATCTATTTTTGTGCAATACCAGGCTGTTTTGATTGTAACTACTTTGTAGTATGTATTGAAATCTGATATTGTGATGCCTCCAGCTTTGTTTTGTTGTATAAGATTGCTTTAACTATTTGGGGTCCCCTGTGTTTCTATAAATTTCAGAGTCATTTTTTTTTTCTAAATCTGAGAGGAATGTCCCTGGTATCACTTTGAATCTGTAAATTGCTTTGGGTAGTATGACATTTTGATGACCCAAATTATTCCAATCCATGAACATGGAAGATTTTTCCATTTTTTGATATCTTCTATTTCTTTCTTTAATGTTTTGTAATTATCATTGTAGAGATCTTTGACATCTCTGGTTAAATTTATTCCAAGGTATTTGATTATTTTGTAGCTATTGTGAATAGGATTGATTTTAGATGTTCTTTTTCAGCCATGGCATTGTTTGTGTACATGAAGACTATTAATTTTGGTGTGTTGATTTTATATCCCACTACTTTACCAAACTCTTTTATGAGTCCTAGTAGCCTCTCAATGGAGTTTTTTGGATCCCCAATATATAGAATCATGTCATTTGCAAATAGGGATTATTTTACTTTCTCCTTCCCAATTGTATCCCTTTGATTAATTTTTCTTGCCTAACAGCCATAGCTAAAACATCCCGGACTATATTGAATCACAATGGTGAGAGTGGGCATCCTTGTCTGGTCTGGATCTCAGTAGGAATGCTTCCAGCTTTTCCCCATTCAATAGTATTCTTCCCTTGGGTTTGTCATAAATTGCCTTGATTGTGTTGAGGAGTGTAGCTTCTATACCCAATTTGCTTAGAGTTTTCATCATGAAAGAGTGTTCTATTTTATCAAATGCTTTCTGTGCATCTATTGAGATAATCATATGACTTTGTTCTTCAACTTGTTAATGTATCACATTGATTGATTTGTGAGTGTTGAAAAATCCCTGCATATCAGGCATAAAACCCTCTTTTATTGGTGAATGATCTTTTGATGTGTTGTTGGATTTGAAGGCTAGTATTTTGTTGAGGATTGTTATGTCTTGTTCATCAGGGAAATTGGTCTGTAGTCCTCTTTCTCTGTTGTTTCTTTTTCAGGTTTAGGAATGAAGGTGATGATGGATTCATAGAAAGATTTTGGGAGGATTCCCTCCCTTTCAATTATTTTGAATAGCTTGAGAAGAATCAGAGTTAGTTCTTCTTTAACTGTATGGTAGAATTTAGCAGTGAAGCCGTCTGGTCTTGGGCTTTTCTTTGTTGGGCGGGTCTTTATTACTGATTCAGTCTCTATCTTTGCTATTGGTCTGTTAGGTTTTCTATGTCTTCATGGCTCAATATGTGTATGTGCCCAGGAATCTATCCATTTCTTTTAGTTTCCTGGTTTGTTGGCATATAGTTCTTTGTAGTAATTTCTGATGATTTGTTTCATTTCTGTGGTGTCTGTTACATTTCCTTTTTCATCTCTGATTATATTAATTTGGATCTTCTCTCTCCTTTTTTCACTAGTTGGGACAATGATATATCAATTTTGTTTATTTTTTCAAAAAGCTAACTCTTCATTTTGCTGATATTTTGTATTTTTTGTTTTGATTTTGTTTATTTCTTCTCTAATTTTAATTATTTCTTTCATCATATTAGTTTTGGGTTTGGTTTGCTGTTGTTTTTCTAGGTCTTTGAGATGTACTGATTGCTCATTTATTTGGTGCCTTTCCAATTTCTTAATTCTATAAACTTCCTTCTTAACACTGCTTTTGCTGTATTCCATAAGTTTTGATATATTTAATTGTCATCTTTATTTGTTTCCATAAATTTTTTGATTTTTGTTTTGATTTCTTCAATGACCCACTATTCATTCAGGAGCATGTTGTTCAGTCTCCATGTGTTTGCATATGATCTAGAGATTCCTGAGTTATTAATTTCCAACTTCATTCCATTATAGTCAAAATGGTGCAAGGTACAATTATAATTTTTTTTTTGAATTTGCTGAGACTTGCTTTATGGCCTACCATGTAGTCAATCCTAGAGAAAGTTCCATACACTGGTGAGAAGAATGTGTATTCTAGACTTTAGGATGGAAAGGTCTGTTTGGTCTGTAGATTTCTTTAACTCTGTTGTTCCCTTGTTGATTTTCTGTCTGGTTGATCTACTGTTGAACATGGGGTATTGAAGTCCCCCATTACTATTGTATTTGAATCTCTGTCACCCTTTAAATCCATTAACATTTCTTTTAAATAGCCAGCTGCCCTGTAATGAGGTGCGTGTACATTTATAATAGTCACATCTTCCTGTTGAATTGGTCACATAATCATTACATAGTGCCCTTCTTTGTTTCTTTTAACAGTTTTAATGTTATAAAGTCTATTCTGGTATTAGGATGACAACACCTGTTCTTTTTTTGCTCTTTTTCCATCCTTTCACTTTCAGTCTGTGTGTATCTTTGTTGGTGAGATGTGTTTCTTGTAGGCAGCAAATATATGGGTTTTGTTTTGTAATCTATTCAGCCAGTCTATGTCTTTTAACTGGAGAGTTGAGGCCATTTACATTCAAGGTGACTATTCATAAGTAACAACTTTGCTCTGCCATTTTCCAATAGATTTTCCTATTTTTTACTTTGGATTTCCCTTGTACTTTTACTGGGAGATTTTCTGCATTTGCCTTCTTTTGCAGTGATGACCATGTTTCTGTGTTTCTGTGTGTAGCACATCCTTAAGCATTTTTTTAAAGGCTTGACTTGTGGTGACAAATTGTTTCAGTTTCTGTTTTTTTTTTTTTTTTTTTTTTTTTATGGAAGGTCTTTGTTTCACCTTCATTCAGAAGGTAAATTTTCAGTGTACAGTATTCTGGGTTGACCAGTTCTCTCTCTCTCTCTCTCTCTTAAGGATTTATTTATTTGAAAGACAGAGTTACAGAGAGAGGTAGAGACAAAGAGAGAGGTCTTCCATCTACTGGTTCACTCCCCAATTGGCTGCAATGGCTGGAGCTGCGCCATTCCTAATCCAGGAGCCAGGAGCGTCTTCCAGGTCTCCCACGTGGGTGAAGGGGCCTGAGGATTTGTGCTATCTTCTACTGCTTTCCCAGGCTATAGCAGAGAGCTGGATCAGAAGTGGAGCTGCTGGATCTTGAACTGGCAATCATATGGGATGCTGGCACTTCAGGCCAGGGCATTAGCCCGCTGCACCACAGCGCCAGCCCCTGTTTTTTTCTCTTAAGACTTAGAATATATCTTGCCATTTTCTTCTAACCTGTAAGGTTTCTGATGAGAAGTCCGCTGTGAGTCTAATTGGAGACCCTCTGAAAGTAACCATACCGATTTTAGAATGTATTCTTTATGTTTTACTGTGGAGAGTTTGACTACAATGTGTCTTGGTGAAGATCTTTTCTGGTCATGTCTGTAGGAGTTCTGTGTGCTTCTTGTACTTGTACATCACTTTCTTCAAATTAGGGAAGTTTTCCCACATTTCCTCTTGGAACATGTTTTTTACCTTTCACCATTCTCTTTCCTGAGCTCTGATTGTGCCATGGACAATTTGTTTCAGACTGTCTATGGAAAAGGTTAATTTTCTATATTGTTAACCCATTGCTGACCAATACTTCTATAAAATACAGCAAAAACGAATTAATAGAAAAATTTACTTACAAGATATGTAAAGCATAAGGCCACATTTTTAGTTTTAAAAGCAACAGATATGGCCGGCGCTGTGGCTCACTAGGCTAATCCTCCGCCTTGTGGTGCTGGCACACTGGGTTCTAGTCCCGGTCGGGGCGCTGGATTCTTTCCCGGTGCTCCTCTTCCAGGCCAGCTCTCTGCTGTGGCCCGGGAATGCAGTGGAGGATGGCCCAAGTACTTGGGCCCTGCACCCCATGGGAGACCAGGATAAGTACCTGGCTTCTGCCATCGGATCAGCCGCAGTGCGCTGGCTGTGGCGGCCATTGGAGGGTGAACCAACGGCAAAGGAAGACCTTTCTCTCTGTCTCTCTCTCTCACTGTCCACTCTGCCTGTCAAAAAAAAAAATAAAAAAAAATAAAATAAATAAAAATGCAACAGATATAATGTGAATTTCAATAAATATAATCAGAATAAATGGGGAAAATAATTGAATTACATAAACTGTACATATTCTTCCTTGAAAGTATGTGTGTGGGTCAGTAATATAGAGAATCATCTGATGATCATAGCCTTTGTTATTTTGCAAGAATATCTGAACAAAAAGTTATGGCTAAAATTTCTTGCACTAACTTTTAGCTTGCATGCTCTGAATTAATATGGTACATGTCAGTAAAGTTTCCTTGTGACAGCTGGTTTCTTGCTTGTTATCTTAGCAAGGTTGGACTGAAGACAATGCTTTGTAGGATTATGTTTTGCTTGTAAATCTCTTTTCTTTATTTACAAAAACTTTATTTGAAATCTTAGGTCCTTATAAAAAATACATTACATCAAGATTGCAAAAAAAAGACACTTTTAAAGATGAGGGATATCTACTTATAAATTTTTACCCCATAATTCATTTTCTAGCCTAACACAGTAACATATTTTTTTTCTTTTTTTCCTTTTGCCCTTCCTGCACTGAAATGACAATGGCCATGAGGGATATCTTAATGTGTCAATTAATCCTTATCAGGAGGCAGTAGCTTTCACTGGCTGAACATCTGCCCTGACCCCAAAAGTCACTAAAGCCCTGAACTTAAATCCAACCTTTCTATTACTGTTCTCTCATTTTACTTACAAACTATACTTTAAAACAACTTTTAAGCACTCAAGAATAACTTAAAAAATTACTGAGGGATCTAAAGTGAATTTGCTACTTTCGATAACTTAAGAACTATTTGTTGTATAAGAATGTAAGTTACTAAAAACTGCATGGATGGAGAGTGACCCAATCAGGAGGTGATCAATTCTGAGAACAAATACATTATATAACCCTTGCCTCTAAATAAGATCCTAGACAATTCTTAGAATGTGAAGAATGCAATTTACACAGTAAAAATGATTTGATTTGTTTTCAGTATGAAAGTACTTTTAATTTCCTTACTGCAGGTACAATGGCATCCACGTCGTCAATTTCTAAGATTTCAAGAAGATCATTGGTAAATGCCTGAAATGCTGGGAAAAATTCCTCATGTTCTTCTAACTTCTTGATAATGCTCTGGAGACCTTCAGGTCCTAATACTTGCTTAACCTGCTCGTTCACCTCCTCATTAATCAGCCTACACAGCTTACCAACACACACATTGATGACAAACTATCTAATTCTAGGAGTTCTTGGAGGTTTCTCACAGCATGGCTCATTTCTCCAAGCCTAGTGTCAACTTCATTCATTTGGGGATAGACTCCATTTAAAGAAGGTACATCAAATAATTTTTGGAAGTGAGAGACAATAGCTTGCAAAGTTTGAAAGTTTGGTACTTTGCTGTCCTTTTCCTTATTTTCAACTTCTTCCAACATGGTATCTACCATAAATAACAGATCACCAACTCTGATTCCTTCATTTTCATCCTGCTTCCTTAAATTATGCCAAGGTACCAGCTCTGCAGATAGTATTTTCAAGGACTTATACAAATCCTTTAGGGATATCAGTTCATCTGCCCACATTTCTATTATTGGCACAAGATGCTCAAATCCACGATCTTGAACAAGATCTTTAAAATGCTGGGCTCCTCCTTTGCTCTGCTTATAAATTATTACTGGAGCTCTTGGGTTGTGAATAATTGAATTGATGCTACACAGTACTATACTGCAACGAAGCCAGGGCTCATTCTCTGTCAATACCTGACAGTACCTTTGGTCAATCAGGGCCTTTTGCCAGTTATCTTTGCTGGGATCATCCTTCTTCTCTGTATCTTCAGTCTTTTTAGGATGGATAAGCTCCTGTAACTTGATGTTTTTCTTAAGGGCTTTTTCCAGTTTCTTCACTTGTTGTTTATATAGTTGTAATTCATGCTGTGTGGGCCTGGATTCCAAATCTTTCTGGAGGTTCAGCTTTTTACTTAAAAGGGCATCAATCTTTGATTTTGATTCCTTGAGTTGATTCTGTAATGACATTAGAAGGCCTTTATAAGTTGGTGAGGCGTTCAGGCTTCTGTATTCTTTCTCTTCTTCTGACCGACTTTCATCGTCTTTATATTGCCTTTGTGTATGGATTTTTCTAATTTTAGATTCAAAATAATCAATTAGGCAAAGCAACTGTCTGTCCAAGATGGTATGAGGAACTCTCTTGCAGAGATAGGCAAACACTCTGTTTTGAGTAAAAATGCGCTCTTCTTCCTCCTTTGTTAATCTATAGATATCCTTTTGCAAAGAAGCAATTGTCTCTTGTTGTTCCATTCGTTTTTTCTTATAATGCTGGCATTTTGCCTGTAAAGTTTTCTGCTCCTTTTCAAGATCCTTTATTTTATTCTGCTGCTGGCAAACTCTATTTAGGGATTCATCCTCCAATTCACCAACTTTGGATTTCACACTCTCCATAATTTGTTCCAAGTCATTGGCACGTTGTTCCTGATGTGCTGTGTGGCTCTGTTCTAGCTGAAGTTCATTTTTAAGCTGCTGATTAGTTTCTATAAGCTCCTGTATCAGGCTCTGTTGACGTGCTGTTTCTTCTACCAATGTTTTCAAATTCTGTCTCATCCTTTGTGATGACTGCTTGTCAAAAATGATGAACTCTTTAAGATCTTTTCTCTTGACCAGGCACAATGGTTTTAAGCCATGCTTCATCAACAGCATATTTATATTCTCCCATTCTGCTTCTTCCTGCTGCTTTTCAGCCATGAGTTTGTCTGATAACTGACTGGACTGCTGGGCTTAGGGGATGCTGGAGACACAGTGGAATCAGAAGTGGAGATTGGCAATAAAAAAATCTGAGTTGCCTCAGCCATATCTCTTTCCTCCTGCACGTCACACCTGCTCATCCAAGATGATCTTAATGAAATGATCGGCCAGTGAGTCTCCTGTGCGAAACTGGATCTTCATCTTCCTCAGCCGCCTGGCCGGGCCCGGCCCGCTCGGCTTCGCCACCGCCTCCGGCCCCGCCCCCGCGACCATCACGGAAGCCAATGGAGGTTGGCCAATCGAGCTCGAGTGGGTCGAGGTCAGGCCTCCGTAAATCTCTTATAGTAGAAAACTAGTATTGACATTTGTTGAAAATAGAAGAGATTTCAAAACCATTTCAGCAAGCTCAACTTTTTTTTTTTTTTTTTTTTTTGCAATTTGTATCCAAAAAGGAACAAACATGTTTTCAAAATTTATTTTCAATACTCTATCTGTGGACAGTTTAATTAATTTATTCCATAAAGGTATATTGAATTACTTTTTGATGAAAGAAATTAATTCTGGATTTTACATACTTCTTTTATATTGTAAATGGAAAACAAACCTTAAAATGTCAATGCTTTAATGTATTCCTAAAAGAACCAACAGATATGCAGTGCACACCCTTTGCCACTGACCACACACGTTCAGTAAAGCTGAAATGGGTCCACAGCACGCCCAAACTGAGTCCCCTGGTTGTGCTTGGATCTTGCTTCAGTGTAAAATTTCCATGGAAATCACTAAACCTCTCACCTCAATTTCTGAATTATTGATGGTGGGAACAAACAGGTGCAGGAATGGCACTAGACTGTAACACACATTTTGAATAACACTGTTGTGGGAGGTGTTTATCTATATTAAAATTGGATCCCCAGAACTCTAGCCATGGTCTAGGTCAAGAGAAACAGAGCAGACATCACCTCCTGTGTTCTGGATATTTTACATCTGCTGCAGCCTAAGTTGTGTGTGCAAGTGGGTGTGCATACATGCACATGCAGGTGTTTGTGTCGTTATTGACATCATAAATAGATCCAAATTCCTAGGCTATTTTCGTAGTTACCACAGTTCTGTCACATCTTCTTTCCGTAGCTCCCTCTACTCCCCAGCTATAATCCTCTTTTCCAGAATTGGCAGTTGCTTCTACCTGTTTCTAGAGATACTTTTTTTGTATAGATGTAAATGGTACTCTCCTAGACACACTGTTCAGAATCTTACTTTCCCTACTAAGTATGTACTGGAGAGTCTTTCATATCAGTCTATAGAAAATTTCCTCATTTTAAAAAGACTCCACAGCATTCAGTGGTATGAATGTCTCATATTTGTTTAACAAGTCACATTTCAACAATTATTAATGTAGAACTTGATTTTTTGCTATAATTGAATAACTTTGCATGGACCTCATTTTCCAAATTTAGTAGTATATCCTGTAGAAATATTCTTAGGGCTAGAATTGCAGGGCTAAAAGTTATGTGCATATTACGTTTTGTTTTATACTAAAATTATACTTAGTCACACTTACCTTGGCACTGTACGAGAGTGCCTGTTGGGGGAATTTCTTAACTGCATTAGGTAAAACTATCCAAGTGATTTTTTAAAAAAGATTATTCCTTTCTTTGAAAGGCAGAGTTACAGAAAGAGAGTGAGAGACAGAGAAATCATCTTCTATCCACTGGTTCACTCCTCAAATAGCCACAACAGACAGGACTAGGGCCAGGCCCAAGCCTGGAGCTTCATCATGGTCTCCCACATGGGTACAGGGACCCAAATACTTGGACCATCTTCTGCTGCTTTCCCAGGCCATTAGCAGGGAACTGGATGGGAAGTGGAGTAGGTAGGACTTGAACTGGCATCCATGAGGGATGTTGGCCTCAGAAGTGGCAGCTTAACCAGCTGTGCCACAATGCCAGCCACGCAAGCAACTTTGTAAATTTGCCAAATTCATCTAGTGTTGGAGGAATTAAGCCACATTCAGAGGTTCTTCACTGGCTGATAATTAGTCATATTTCTGAGGGGCAGTTTGATCTCAGGGTATCAACATCCATGTAATAGCTAACATATGAGTAAGTTAACATAACATATGGAATCAACTATGTTTTTTTCTTTTTTAATTCTTATTGCTCTAAAAAGAGCAGATTTCATGTATTTCATAGGTACAGTTTTTTTTTTTTTTTGACAGGCAGAGTGGATAGTGAGAGAGAGAGAAAGAGAGAAAGGTCTTCCTTTTGTCGTTGGTTCACCCTCCAATGGCCGCCACGGCTGGCGTGCTGCGGCCAGTGCACTGCGCTGATCTGAAGGCAGGAGCCAGGTGCTTCTCCTGGTTTCCCATAGAGTGCAGGGCCCTGGCCACAGCAGAGAGCTGGCCTGGAAGAGGGGCAACCGGGAAAGAATCCGGCGCCCCGACAGGGACTAGAACCTGGTGTGCCGGCGCCGCTAGGTGGAGGATTAGCCTATTGAGCCACGGCGCCAGCCTCATAGGTACAGTTATAAGAAGATAATCATACTTCCCTTCCTCCCTTTCTCCCTCCCTCATCCCCCTCCTTTCTTCCCCTTTTTTCTTGAATTTTTGCAGACATAATTTTAGTCTAATATAATCACTCAACTGCTTTAAAAATACAAACTTTTGAATGGTTTTATTACTTAATGAATACTCATGCTTCTATTTTGTTTTATTTTTAAAAGATTTTATTAACTTTTTTGAATTATGATTACAGAGAGAGGGAGAGACAGAGAGAAAGGTCTTCCTTCTGCTGGTTCAAAATGGCTGCAACAGCCAGAGCTACACCAATCCAAAGCCAGAAGCCAGGAGCTTCTTTTGGCTCTCCTACATGGGTGCAGGGGCCCAAACACTTGGGATATCTTCTACTGCTTTCCCAGGCCATGGCAGAGAGCTGGATTGGAAAAGGAGCAGCTGGGAGTTGAACCAGTGCCCATATGGGATGCTGGTGCTGCAGGCAGAAGCTTAGCCTAGTATACCACAGCACCAGCCCTTACTTGTTCTTAATTGGGAAGTGAAATTGAAAGCATAAATTGTATGGTTTATAACTGTTTTTGTTAAAAGTGTGGAGTCGTATTCATTTCCCATGTCAGACTATAACTAAAGATTTATTAATTATAAAAATGTTTTAAGTGATCCCTATCACTGTCTCTGTGGGGCTTGCCCTCATTTGAAAATGTGCTTTCTCCCACGGAGGTCAGCCTTGAGTTTGCTTGGAGGGAGCTTCTCATTTGTCGTTCTGTGTCGGTGTGGTCTGACAGCAGCCGGTGCTACCAAAGTCACATCACTTGAGGTAGCCATGCAGGCAGCCTTTCCTGGAGGCTCTTCCCCAAGAGCTATACAGGTAACTGAATTCTCACACTGAGCACATCCTGTTTCCAGCAGTTCAGCTCAGGGCCCCTAAATCCCACAGCACTGAGTCAGAGTTCTGGGGGGCAGTGGCTATCCCCCAGGCCTTTGTACAGGGAACAGCATGTAACTTACTGGGCTGAATGCATCCAGAGAAAAGAAATATAACCTGCTAACAGGCACCACCATGTTGTGTGATTGCAAACTACTTGTGTAGTTTTTACTAGACACAGGTGTTGGTGCTTAGGTGTAAAAGGGAAAAGTGCTTTGAGTTGCCAGTGTTGTGGCTCCCGTGGCTAAGTCTTCTACTGGGAGCGAAGTCCTCTTGGCTGAGATTTTTCACTGGTGCTTGGTCTTCTGGTGGCAGCTGTACATGATTAGTTCACTCCGGATTTGCAGTAGACCAGTAGTACTCACGCATCTAATATGTCTTTTGTGTATTTTGAAGACCTTTTCTAAGTAATAGATTAAAAACAGCACCCTATTCACCATGGAAACACCTCCTTTTGTATTAGGGGCTTGCTTTCCATATAAAAGTTAATAGGTCGAGTATCCCTCATTCAAAACCCTGAAATTGGAAGTGCTCCAAAATCTACTTTTTTTTTTTTAAGTAAATAAGACACTAAGCGAAAAATTCTACATCTGACCTCGTATGATGGGTAGCAGTCGAAACACAGGTGCACTGAAATGCTGTATAAGATTACCTTCAGGCTATGTGGATAGGAGTATATGAAACATGAATGAATGTTATATTTAGACTGAGGCCTTAACCCTACAATATCTCATTATGGATATACGGGTATTCTGAAATCTGAAAAAAAATCTGAAACATTTTAGTTCCAAGCATTTCAGATAAGCAGTATTCAACCAATATGCTATTCTTTCTGGTTTTAGAATTCAAACTGATTAGGATTAATTTTCATCCTGCATCATTGAATGTAGGGCCTCAGGTTTCTAACCTATATAAGCTGGTACTTTCTACAAAAAATGTTCACCAGTGCAGATACTGGTTACTCTGAGTGAGAAAATGAGCAGCTTTTGTGGAACTGTTTGAGGAGAAATTGATAAGCCGATAAAACACTGTATGTGTGGTCAAGTGTCCTTGCTTCTACTTTGAGGTCCGTGTTGTAATTACTAGCACTGGTGGCCTTCGACACAGGGATAACTGGCTTAGACAGAGGCAACCAAGATCTTGAAAAGCAAAACATTTTTCTAAATAGACTGCATAATGAATTTGGTTATTACATCTCTGCAAAGAGCAGGCTTCTGTATCTGCCCAGCCGCTCTGTGATTTTTTTCTTTCAAATTGTTGCCTGAAACTCCCTTGATTTAAAAAATATCACCAGAAGAAAAAAAGCAACATTCTATGTTTTCTTTTTTTTAAAATTTTTATTTAATAAATATAAATTTCCAAAGTACAACTTTTGGATTATAGTGGCTTTTCCCCCCATAACCTCCCTCCTACCTGCAATCATCCCATCTCCCACTCCCTCTCCCATCCCATTCTTCTTCAAGCCCATTCTTCTTCAAGATTCATTTTCAATTACCTTTGGAACTAGTATTTCAGCTAATCTTTGTCCTGTTTCCTGACTGTGGGTGGACATAAATTCCTTTCAAAGTCTAGTTCTTTTTTTTTTTTAATCATTTTATTTATTTGAAAGAGTTACAGAGAGAGAGAGAGAGAGAGAGAGAGAGAGAGAGGTCTTCCATCTGTTGGTTCACTCCCCAAATGGCTGCAACAGCCGGAGCTGAGCCGATCTGAAGTCAGGAGCCAGGAGCTTCTTCTGGGTCTCCCGTGCAGGTGCAGGGGCCCAAGGACTTGGGCCATCTTCCACTGCTTTCCCAGGCCACAGCAGAGAGCTGGATCAGAAGAGGAGCAGCCGGGACTAGAACTGGCACTCATACGGGATACTGGTGCTTCAGGCCAGGGCTTTAACCCGCTGCACCACAACGCCAGCCCCTCAAAGTCTAGTTCTAATGCCCAAGCAATGCCTGTGTTTTAACCAGCAGCCAGCAATATTACCAGCCCAGTTAGATGCAAAGGGCGCTATTCAAAGATACTGTATTTTTTTTTTTTTAGTGCTTTTTGCCCCCAACATACTGTTTTTAATAAAAAACAAAGTGTGGAGCCTTGTGTGCTGAGACTGTGGGAACTCTGCACGAGGGGCCCAGGCATGGCTGGGTCTCTGGGAATCACTGTGAACAGTGCCAAGGGCTCAGAGCTCCGATCGCCTGAGCGGGGCCGTTGCAGTGGGATCCATGTTCACACGAGGCCTGCACAGATCCTTTTCCGATTCATGTGACAGTGTGGGTGAATGTTGCACCCACTGTGGGCTAACACAGGACATTGATCTCCTTGGAAGGGAGGAGGTGAGGGTGTGATTAGGCCAACAGAGGTGATTATACCCTCCCCTCTGCCAACAGTAGAGATCCACCATGCCCAACTTGTGTGTCACCCTGGATACTTGCCCCACCCTGGAGCACTGACCAGAGCTCCCTGGCCACACCCAGCACATACCTCTGGGTATTCAGCGAAAGCGCAGACACTCCACCGAGCCACAGAGACATAGTTCAAAGATAAATTCCATCAGAGGAGAAAACCAACAAGTATTTCCACAAATGCCTGAGAATAAACACAGAAATTCAAGAAACAAGAATAAGGAGGACAACATGACTTCACCAAAAAACACAACACTTCAGTATTAGAATGTGAGGGTGAAGAGATTGATGAAATGCCTGAAAAGGATTTCAAAAGATTGATCATAAGATTACTCAGAAACAATGAGAGGCAAATTCACAAGTTATGGAAATCCATACATGACATGGAAGAAAAATTCTCCCATGAGATTGAGATTTTGAAGAGAAATCAAACTGAAATATTAGACATGAAGAATTCAATATGTAAAATAAAAAAGACAGTGGAAATCCTTAACAACAGAATTAGAGAGGCAGAAGAAAGAATATCCTAGCTGGAAAACACAGAAAACTTCCCCAATTTGGAGAAAGGGACATCCAAGAACATGAGGCAGATGAAACTAATAGACATGACTAGAAAAATCTTCATGATACATTGTAGTCAAACTTTCAACAGTAAAACACAAAGAAAATATTCTAAAATGTGCACGAGAGAAATTCCAGGTTACTTTCAGAGGATTGCCAGTTAACTATATAGTAATACTGTAGCAATGCTGGCTAACCAAGTTTCTGATCTTATTTGAGGTGAATTCATGTATTTGGAATGCGATGTCAACAAGTGATTTAAACAATTTTTTTTGACAGGCAGAGTTAGACAGTGAGAGAGAGAGAGAGAGAGAGAGAAAGGTCTTCCTTTTTTCTGTTGGTTCACCCCCCAAGTGGCTGCTACGGCCAGCGCTTTGTGGCCGGCGTGCTGCACCAGTCCAAAGCCAGGAGCCAGGTGATTCCTCCTGGTCTCTCATACAGGTGCAGGGCCCAAGTACTTGGGCCATCCTCCACTGCCTTCCCAGGCCACAGCAGAGAGCTGGAAGCAGGATCAGAAGTGGAGCAGCCAGGACATGAACAGGCACCCATATGGGATGCTAATGGTTCACTCAGCGGCTTTATCTGCAACACCACAGTGCTGCCCCCCAGTATTAGTTTTGTCTCTATGAGACAAGGGTGTGCAGAGTCTATGAACATTGCGAGAAAGATTGAGTTGTCCTTTGTGTAATGATGCATTTATGAGAATTCTAATCTATAAGAAAGTCTTCAAAAAGTTACAGAAAATATGTATTATAAGGAAGCTATGCATGAATTTTAAATTTGTAATAAAATCAAATCATCTTTCAATTCTGTTTTCCCCATGAACTGTTTGAATTACTCTTGTGTTTTTAAAAATAAGATGAAAGAGGCCTTAAAATAATTTATTTGAGAGGAAGGGAGGGAGAGAGGAAGAGAGAGATAGAGAGCTGGTTCACTCCCCAAATGCCTGCAAAAAACAGCTGGAACTAGGCCAGGTCATAGATGGGAGCCAGCAACTCAATCCAGGTCTCCCACAGGGATGTCAGGGATCCAAGTACTTGAGCCATCACCTGCTGCCTCCCAGGGTGCTCATTAGCAGTAAACTGGTATTGGGATTAGGGAACTTTCAGGGTTCAGGATGGAACGAGGGTTTCACCCCAGCTCCTTGGAGTGCTTGGTAAAGGAAGTAACTGCTGTAGTAAATGCAGGTATACTCTGCTGGTTGCTAATGTTATTATCTTCACTTCCTATAATTATTTTAGGACTTATTCAGTGCTGTGGAAGCAAAAGCAGCTCTTGAAAAGGAAGTTACGATCCTGCAAGAAAGGCTGCGTGCTGGCCAGCGGGCCTGGGAGGCCTCGAAGCAGGAGCTGAGCATCCTGCAGAAAAGCGCCCACGAGTTGGAGGAGAGTTTGGAGGCCTCACGAAGCCAGCACTCTTCATTTAGGGAGAACATCGCAGCCCTCCTGAGAGGCAGCATGGGTGTAACTGGAACCGCAGAGGATGCCCTTTTGGAGAGGATTCGAGAGATGGGCAGCCAGGAGGACAGCAGGAAAAGGGTGAGAAGGACGCAGCTCCCAGGCTGCGTAAGAACAGCAAACACAGTCCCTGTCGTGTCTTAGCAAATGTGCATCTGCGTCACTGGAAAGTGTAGTTCAAATCCGGTTGTAATCCTTTCGATCACAGTCTGTTTGCTGTTGCTGTGACAGAATACCTGGGCCTGTGTACTTGTGAAGAAACGAGGTTGATTGAGCTCACAGTGTTGGAGGTCCAGGAGCTTCTGCTGTGTCCTGGCAATGACCTCCTGGCAAATGGTCCCTTAGTGATGGGAGCACGTGTGAGAGTGGTCACGTGGGAATCAGAGACTGGAGAGGGCTGACTTTCTCTTTCATTGTAGCCCACTCCTTTTTTTAAGAAAGCTTTTATTTAATGAATATAAGTTTCATAGGTACAGTTTTTGGAATAAGCGGTTCTTCCCCCCATCGCCACCCGCCCATCCCCAAACTGTGCCACCTCCTACTCCCTCTCCCATCCCATTCTTCATTAAGTTTCATTTTTAATTTATATCCAGAAGACCAACTCTATACTCACTAAAGATTTCAACAGTTTGCACCCACACAGACACACGAAGTATAAAGTACTGTTTGAAGACTAGTTTTACTGTTAATTCTCATAGTACAACTCATTAAGGACATAAGTCCTATGTGGGGAGCAAGTACACAGTGACTCCTGTTGATTTAACAATTAACACTCTTATTTATGACGTCAGTGATCACCCGAGGCTCTTGCCATGAGCTGCCAAGGCTCAAGAATTTTAAGTACACAAACTCCATCAGTATTTAGAAAGGGTCATAATCAAAATGGAAGTTCTCTCCTCCCTTCAGAGAAAAGTACCTCCGTCTTTGATGGTCCGTTCTTTCCACTGGGATCTCACTCACAGAGATCCTTCGTGTAGGTCGTTTTTTGCCACAGTGTCTTGGCTTTCCATGCCTGAAATGCTCTCATGGGCTTTTCAGCCAGATCCGAATGCCTTAAGGGCTGATTCTGAGGTCAGAGCCTTAATAGCCCACTCTTGTGGAAACTAACTCACACCGTGGTTCAGTATAAATCCCTTTGGAGGACCAGGCCCCCATTGGCCTAATTATTTCCTGCTAGACCCTGCCTCTTAAAGATTTCACCACCTGTTCATGTTGCCCTACTGGGGACCAAGTCTCCAACACCTGCACTGTGGGAGCACCCACTCCAGCCACATCCAATCCATAGCTCCCAGAACTCAGGAAGGGCCTAGAGTCACCCAGCAGCAGTTGACTTTGATGTGGGTTCCAGGGTCTGAGGTACTCAGCGCAGCATCTTGTCTCCACTGATACCCGCTTGCTGGCTGTGTGACCTGGGAAGCTTCCAGAGATCACAGCCTGAGCTGTTTCCTCAGCTCTGAAGCATCTAGAATAAGGTTTTCAACCCTTTTCCTGATACCCGTGGAGCTCAATGTATTTTTTTCCTACTTTTATTTAATAAATATAAATTTCCAAACTTATGGATTTTAGCGGCTTTTCCCAATGTATGTTTTTAAAAAAGATTTATTCTATTTTATTTGAAAGGCAGAGTTACAAAGAGCAGAGACAGAGAGAGAGAGAGAGAGAGAGAGAAAGAGGTCTTCCATCTGCTGGTTCACTCCTCAGATGGCTGCAATGGCTGAAACTGACCGATCTGAAGCCAGGAACTTACGCCAAGTCTTCCATGTGGGTGCAGGGGCCCAAACACCTGGGCCATCTTCAACTGCTTTCCCAGGCCATAGCAGAGAGCTGGATCAGAAGTGGAGCAGCTTCAATTTAATTTAAAAGCTTGTTTAATTCTGGGACTCGAACCAGCGCCCATATGGGATGCCAGCACTGCAGGCAGTGGCTTTACCCACTATGCCACAGTGCTGGACCCTCAATGTATTTTTTTTGACAATTTTTATTTATCATTTTTTTTATCTGAAAGGGGGAGAGAGAGAGAGAGAGAGAGAAAAGAGAGAGAAAGAGGGAGGGAGGGAGGGAGGCATCTCCCATCTGCTGATCACTCTCCACATGTGCACAACAGCCAGGACTGGGCCAGGCTGAAGCCAGGAGCCAAGAACTCTCAAGCTAGGTCTCCCACATGAGTGGCAGGGATGTGAATACTTGGGCCATCACCTGCTGTCCATCAGGATGTGCATTAGCAGGAAGCTGGGATCAGGAGCATAGACAGGACTTTAATCCAGGCACTAAGATATGGGATGGATCATCCCAAGTATTTGTTGTGCCTTTCAGGGTTTGAGAAGGCAAGACAGTATCCAGAGAGTACAGAAAGCAGCCTTACAGAGTCTCCACAGTCATCTGGGGACTGACCCCATCATGAGGGCTTTCCTGGTTCTGCAGCAAAACCTGGGAGCAGTTCTGAGTGGGATAAATGCAGACTATAAATAGCCCATGGCACTCAGGTCAGGGTTTGCTGCCAGCTAGGTCAGGTCAGGCCAGGCTTTGCCAGTAAGTGTGTTACAAAAACAAGACAAAATGAAACAAAAAACCCTTGGATTTTGTAGTTGCAGATAAGGATTTTTAGACCTGTAACAGTATCTGCTAAATAAGTTAGTGTTATTGTAGGCATTAAGTGAAAAAAATTGTTATGAAGTCCTTACCACACTGTCTGGCAAATCGTGGCTGTAAGTATTAACTGATATCCTCGTTTCCATAATGCAGTAATGCCTGGAGCAGTATTTTAGGGGGCAGTTCAACAAATGGAGAAATATGACTTAATTCACACATGATTGAAGCTTGTTTAATTTTGTCATCTTCTTTATACTGTCAGTAACTGTCATTTTCCACAAAGGTTTATTTAGCAGTCATCTTTAGCCCAATCTCTGTTTCTATATCAAACTCAAGTGATTGAAGTCTTAATTATAAGACCTTCAATGACAACCAACTTCCATGTATAATTCCATTATGAACTATTTCTTCTACTGATGTCATGTTTATTCAAAATGAGGAAATGCATTTTCCATTTCATTTTTTTTCAATTTAAGAGGTAGAGAGATCAAGAGAGAGTTAGCGCCCATCTGCTGATTACTCCCCAAATGTCTGCAATGTTCAGAGCTAGGTCAGGACTCAATCCTGGTCTCCTACATGGATGGCAAAGAGCCAAACACTTGAGCTGCCTCTTGGGGTCTGCATTAGCAGGAAGCTGGAGTCAGGAACAGAAGCCAGGAGTTGGACTGAAGCACTTTGATGTGAGACATAGTGTGTCTTAATAAATGTCTTTTTATTTTTTGAAAAAAGGTTTTATTTATTTCAGAGTTAGAGTTACTGACAGAGAGAGAGAGAGAGACAGAGAGAGAGAGGTCTTCCATCTGCTGGTTTACTCCCTAGATGGCAACAAAGGCTGGAGCTGGGCTATTCTGAAGCCAGGAGCTTCTTCAGGGTCTTCCACGTGGGTGCAGGGCCCAAGCACTTGGGCCATCTTCTACCACTTTCCCAGGCCATAGCAGAGAGCTATACCAGAAGAGGAGCTTTTGGGATATGAACTGATGCCCATATGGGATGCCAGCACCTCAGGTGGAGGCTTAGCCTGTTGTGCTACAGTGGCGGCCCCTTAATCAATGTCTTAAGGAAGCTAAATGCTCACCCCATCTTTTTTTTTTTTTTTTTTTTTTGACAGGCAGAGTGGACAGTGAGAGAGAGAGACAGAGAGAAAGGTCTTCCTTTGCTGTTGGTTCACCCTCCAATGGCCGCCGCTGCAGCCGGCGCACCGCGCTGATCCGATGGCAGGAGCCAGGATCCAGGTGCTTTTCCTGGTCTCCCATGGGGTGCAGGGCCCAAGCACCTGGGCCATCCTCCACTGCACTCCCTGGCCATAGCAGAGAGCTGGCCTGGAAGAGGGGCAACCGGGACAGGATCCGGCGCCCCAACCGGGACTAGAACCCGGTGTGCCGGCGCCGCAAGGTGGAGGATTAGCCTATTGAGCCACGGCGCCGGCTCCATCTTTTAATATTAGAAAAAACTTAGAGTGATCATTCATTCAAAGTTCAGGATGCATCTGTAAATTTTCTCTAACAAGCAAAAAATTTAAATTCCCTTCAAGAATTTTCAAAATTCACACGTGCCCTAGGAGCAACTGCCATGGCCATGTGCAGGTTCTGTCTGTGGATATGGAAGCTTCTTGCACAGGGTGCTGGAGGCCAACCTCCCTTCGGTACACATGGAGATCACCTCAGATGTTCTCTGAGAGTAAGTCAGGTGTTCTTGTGATCCAGTCTATGTAGGGATGCTCAACTGAGCAAGGAAATTATGTGTAGGACCGAGAGAAACATCCTTAATTTATTCACCTTGAATGATAACAGATAAACTTCAGTAGCTTGATGGGTTTTGTCATTTCATTGTATTGCTCCCCCTTCTATGTAATATCCAGGTTTTTTCCTAAAACAGTTTTAGTGCCAGCATGTGAAGCTTGCCATACAATTGCCAGCATGATGTGTATGTTTATTTTCTAAAGCAAAGTGATGCAAATTGGTGAAGCTGGCTATGCCTCCCCCCACTCTCCATAAACACGAGAATGATTCAGTCTTTTTAGTGCCTTTGTCTGCCTTTCCTACCCTGTAATTTTTTTCAATAGCTGCTCTCCCTATTTAAAAGCTTGAAATCAAGCATATAGCTAGTGTCTTGGGTGATTCATTTTCAAGTAAAATCAGGAGAAAATGGATTTTGTGTATTGTCTTAGAAATGTTTCTGAAGAATGGAAGCTTTACAAATTGATGAAGCTGTTTGTTGAGGAGGCCGCACAGGCCTGCCAGCTGCCGTGGCTACAGCGCAGTCCCCAGATGAGCAAAACCCCCGTGAAGGCCCAATGACGGGTTCAGGCTTGGTTCAGGGTTGGCCCTGCAGTCCCACCACTTCCAGTCCACTCCTCCTACCGCCTGTTGCTTTCTCCTGTAGCCCTGGGCTACCAGTTTTCCCTCTGTTGTATTTGTAGTTCTCATTGTAACTGAGGCTAGCTCCCATGTGCTTTCAGTAAGTCATTTCTACTTGTTCCTTGCTTTCTTTTT